CGAAAACGGGGGCATGTTCTCCCATCCATTTCGCTACTTCTCTAGGAGTCTGACTAGCAGTAGAGCGATTTGAAAAGCCACTGGATGATGAAAAAAGCTTTGAACTAAGCCATAAATAATATTTTGACGATCTAGAAAATAAAACTGGCCCAAAATCGAGCACAGTTTGCATCACTAAGTATAAAGGCCAAATGTCACGCCGGCCAAACATCGGCTTTGTAACCGAGTTGTAATACGCAGCCAGGCCTTCCCGGGTTGCCAAGCGAAAAAGACGACAACAAGGTCGGCCATCTTTGACGTTCGTATGCATTTTGAGGATTAAATTTATATGGTCTCTGCTCGTTCAGTTGAAGGTACGTCTGTACTTTCAGGTTTGTTTTAATTTCGTATATGTTATTTTTGCTTTGCGTCGAGACTAACCATGAACATAACATGTAAGCTTATAGTGGAATCCACTTCTAGTGGTGTTGCACAGTTTTTCGTAAACTGTTTGCGAGTCTTGCTTTGCATGAAGAGGGTAGGATGCCTGATTTAAGAACGTTGTATTTTTCATTTCTTTGATTGCCCTGTGTCATAAAAAAATATATTGTCTCTGGAAAATTCAAATTCTATTGCAAAGAACATGCTGAACTTTGAAACTCATTTTTCTAGGAAAAGGGTTGTCTGGGTTTTTGCATTGGAAAATTACTTGGTTTTTGGTCATTGATATGTCGAGTGCTGCAGGAACTGTGAATGAAGTGGAAAAGTTTAACTTGCAAACTATGTACTGTACATATAAACTGGGGCAATGGTCTGATCTGCCTGTCGAAAAGAATTTTAGCAGCTGTTTGAAACAAAAACACACTTCTAATACCTTAGATGATCAGCTCTGCAATATTATTAGTCTTTACAAGTATTTATCTGTCACCGATACACAAGTACAGGTATTGTGTTTCTTTTTGCAACTCACTCTGCACCAATTCATGTCTCAATTTTAATTAAATGTGCTTTGGTTGAAAATAAGATAACCCTTGGGATCAGAGTTGGTGGAGATGAAAAACTCGTTACTGTCACTGATTAATTTTCTCAATCTCCTTTCATTTTGATAGGTTGTTTGTTCCCATAATTAGCTAAAATGGAGATTGTGTACGTCTACACAAAGAAGAGAAGTGAATTTGGCCGTCAATGCAACTTCTCAGATCGTCAAGCAGAGCTGCATGTAGACATAGCCCCAGATGACAAGCTTCTGCAAGATTACATTGAGAAAAATCCTTGTGACACTGGAATTCAATGTGTACAAGAAATGTCTGAACATGAGGTAGGAATTATATCATTAAAAAACAATGTTTGATGATGATGAAGTACTGTAGTAAAGATATTTATGAATCTTTAAAGGTCTTCATGAGGAACTTTTAAGGTCTTTGTTTATACTCCTCAAAGATCTTTAAAGTCCTTTCCCCCAACATCTTTCATTTCAAAGATCTTCGCGTGGATCTTCAAATGTCAAGATCCTTGAAAGATCCTTATCCTTCAGGACCTTTGACAGGTCTTTGAAGATCGTGAAAAATTCTTCGAGATCATTGATTAATAAAGATCCTGCAAAGTTTTTCATGATTAGCATAGAAGTATCAAAAGAAATTAATATTACTGTACAACCTAGTGGATTAGTGTTAAAAAATTAAAGCAATGATGCTGCTAATTTTCAATTGAAATGGTTCTGGAACTTGTTAATGGTGTTAAACAAGTTAAGAAAAATAGCCAGAATGTTTTGTTGAGATGATGATGATGACGATGACGATGACGATGACAATGACGATGACGATAATAATAATTTTAATTATATAGTGCCAATTCTCAGTGGTCCATTAGTTCTGCTAAGTCATTAATGACTTAATAAAAACTTCTTATAGAAGTGGTGATTAGTAACAGGAGAATAACTTGTTTTTAGGTGAATACAGAGAGGTTTGAAACAGAGAGTCGTGGTATAAATCATGTGGAGGGAGGATGGCCAAAAGATGTGAATCCTGCTGAAGTAGAACAAACTATCAGATATCGTAAAAAGGTGGAAAAGGATGAGATTTACATGAACACAATTCAGCAACTTGGAAATGTAAGTATGGACATTTAAGTCTGTACTCTGTTCAGATCAAATTGTCCTACAACACCTGAGCTCTATCTTGGTTTGTGCAGCATGAAGCAGTTAGGTCATTGCTAGTTTGTCTGGTTGGGATAGTGGTTTATAATAGGCTATACCCCCAGCTTCATGCTGCACATTTCTGTTGCAGGACTTATAGAACTACATTTTACACACACTGCTCTGCATGATTCATTAATCTTTGTGTCTCTTTTTGCCCCTGTGCAGGTCATGGAGCATTGTATCAAGCAAAACAATGCAATTGACATCTATGAAGAGTACTTTTCAGAGATTGATGTTGACACATCTGGAGATCCACCTTCTGCTAAAACAATCAATGTGTTCAGGTAGACCTCTAGCAGAAATCTCTGTTCTAGTGTAGAGTAGCACTGTTAAAATTCTAAGAATGATACCAGGGATTAATTTTTCAAAACATTTTTGTTTATTATAAGTGAATACCTGTAAACAAGCTGGTTAGCTGTTGCAGCCCTGGATCTTACAAGTCTGGGCTGTGGTAGCTGCTAAGCATATTATTTCACTCTTTAAACTTGTATTGCATAGCCATTGCATCGCATCATATCGTATTATACATGGAGTTATTTCTGGTAGGCTTGTACATGTATTTTGGAGTAAATTATTTTAAAAAAGGACTGAATAGTGGGAAATGCATAAAGTGGCTCTTTGTCTACTTCAAGAGGCTCAGAATAGTCACAAAAACTTTTCGAATTAATTACGGTAAAATCATCTAGAAGATTAAAACATTTTCCACTCTCATTTATTATTTACCTTTTGCTTGTTATTTTCAGAGATCCCCATGACATGAAGCGTACAGCCACCAGCCTGTCCTGGTACCCAGACAGCACCAGAAAGCTGGCTGTAGCTTATTCCATTTTAGAGTTTCAACAGTTTGCAGGAGAAACATCTATGGATTCGTACATTTGGGACATAGGTGAGAGTTTGCTAAAA